AGGGGTTCATCTGTCCTAGATTCCCTGCGTTTCCAGTTCCCATCTGTACCGCTGTGCATCATCTGGTCTAGCCAGGCTGTAAATCTTTATGGAAGCAGATTGCCACCTCTTGACCCAACTGGTAGTTTCAAACTTGCAACCTCTCTGTTTCAAACCAAGTTCTTACCTGCTGTGCCACCAGGGATCTTTTGATTTTAGAGCAGTGTACTTAGTATAATTGTAGTCCCCTGAGGCTTTCCTTCAAAAAAACTGCTTTGAGGCATTTTTGCAAGTAATGCCAAAATCCTATTTTCTGAGAATTTCATGGGTTTTTTTCTTGAAATAACTTAGTGAAAATTAGAAGTGAGAATTAGTTCACAATGTTGCTCCCTGCCCCACCAAACACGGAATTTACCAATACTTGTCTTTGAAGATTTCGCTTTAGAGTTTTGACCTCAAGCTAGGTTCCAGCAAGGTAAACAAACCCACTCGGACCTTTGAACAACGGGAATTTAGTGTAGGGGATTCATTACACAGGAGATGGTATTGCTGGGAACCTGAAGACAATGATGCAGAAATCAGTAACAGCAGGACCCTCCTACACTGCAAGAACTAGAAGGACAAAGGGAGGAGACGGCATTACCAAAGCCAGAGAGCTAGAGCTAAGCAGCAGGAACTACACCATATGCGTGCTCTGTGATGGGAGCAGAGGCCCGTGTAGACCTCTGTTGCGACCTGTGACTTCATTCAAGAATGAGGGAGCCCTATCTCTCCCATCACCCACCTGCAGTCTTCCACCAGTGTGTCCCAGTGGCCAAACTTATCCAGAATCTAGTAGGTGAAGGAGTCCTGGACTATAGTTTCCTAGGACACAAAGTCAAAGAGGGAAAGGGCAGAAATTGGCTCTAAGAGAAAAGAAGGAAGTGGCCAGCATATCAAGTCCCAAAAACCAAATTTCCTGCCTTCTAGTTGATGCCGATTCCCAGTGACCCAATAGGACAGGGGAGAACTGCCCGTCGGTTTTGAAGGCTACAGCTCCTTATGGCAAATTACTCTGTTTTCACGAAAGCTGTTCATAGAGTCTGTAGAATGCTTAGGAGGCTTTGTTTAAAGGTAACCAAGTCTGACTGTGATGGTTTCAAAATACCTGAGATAGTTAATGTTTATTGGGCCAACCTGGCCGATAAACACATGTGGGGTTAATTGAACGGCAGAGGGATAAATGGCTTGGTGAGCCTCTCCTTTCTAGTTCTCAGGGCTCTTGCTCTCTGGTGTTCAGACCAGGGTGCAGCTGCCTTAGCCAGTTCCCTGCTTCCGCTGGCGAGGCTTACTTCCTGCAAGACAACCCCAAGGAGAAGCCACATGAACCTACCCTGATGCAGCCCTGGGTGCTGGAGCAGCCATGTGGAGACCCCTGCCAGTACTGAGATGCTTACATGCTCACTGACTTGGCTTTCCTCCTGCAGTCAGCATCATAGTGTGTGTTTTGTGAGATGGAGGAGGACTTTGTGGATTGGTGTTGGGTATATGGGCTAATGTTGGACTTGTGGGCTTGGGCAGCACTAGGTTGGGATGTTTTCTTAATGTGCACTTACTCTTTATATAAAACTCTCTTATACATATGAGTTTCTGTGGATTTGTTTCTCTAAAATACCCAGAATTATATAATACCAAACTGAATAAGTAATGGCACAGATTGCCTTTACTGTTCCAAATCTTGGCACAGTATTGGAGAACTGATATAAAGAACCACTGGACTCTCCAGTCACCACCCAAAATAAGAAGTGTTTTTCTTTCTTTGTTTCATTTTGCTTTTGTTTTTTAGGGAACTAGACACTTCAGGAAGTGCCTAAGAAATTGAAAAGTGGAGGTGAGACAGGCCAGAGAAAAGCATAAGTGAGAATACAGTGGGTGCATGACCATGAAGGATCCACACCTAAAACTACTGGAACCCTGCAGCAGAAGGGGACTAGAAACAGCCAAGGCGTGTTTGACTTGAGCTATTATACTGGGTAGTTGTCCTGTGAACCCTGGGCACTCCTCCTTCCCATTGCCAGATCCGACCTTAGGATGCAGAAACAGGGAGAGGCCCAGGTATCTGGTGATGTCCGAAACAAAGAGGAACCAGATAACCTATGAAGATCAGTGCCTATGGCATACAGCCAAACACAGTGCTCTGCCCTACCCCAGTCTCCCTGAAAGCAGTATGAAGCTGAGCTCCCCATGCCGGGTTCAGCCCCTTGCATCAGGCCGGCTGTCCGAGCTCAGATAGCTTGGATATGTTCACCATCAAGATTTACTAGGAACATGACGATTATCAACACTGACAGGGACAAGACGATGATAACGAATAGAGGACTTCAGAACTGAGCTCTACAGCAAGACTGGTCTGTGTCCTCAGAGAAAGAAAGAAGGTATAGCATTCATGAAACAAGAACAGAATCTTGATTCTTAGGAGACCCAGCCAAAAGGAGATCTTGGAAATGAAATATATATATATACAATGTTTGCCCTTAAGAACTTAATAGATTCAATAGCAGAATTATATATATATAGAGAGAGGTGGAATAGTGTTCTAGGAAGATACACACTAAGACTTCTTCCAGATTATCAAGAAGAGAAAGAATAAAGGATCAAACATTTCAAAGAAAAAGGTCTAGATTAGCCAATAGCTACCTGTTGTCCATGGAATTGTGTCCTCTAAAAAGTTATGTTGACGTCTGAGCCATTGTGCTTGTGAATGTGACGTTGTTTGAGGGCTTTCGTTCAAGTTACGAAGGTCATACTGGAATACAGTGTGCCCTAGTCTTACGTGCCTGGTGTCCTATGTTGTTGTTGTTGTTGTTGTTGGGTGCTGTAGAGTCTGTTCCAACTGACCGTGGCCTTTTGTACAACAGAAAGTCCTGCGCCATCCTCACAGTCGTCCTTATGTTTGAGCCTATTGCGGCAGCCACCGTGTCCATGCAGCTCATCAAGGGCTTTCCCTGTTTGCTCTCCCTTCGACTTTACCAAACACGAGGTCTCTCTCCAGGGACAGGTCTTTCCTGATAACGCGTCCAAAGTTTGTGCGATGAAGTCTTGCCATCCTTGCTTCTAAGGAGCATTCGGGTTGTACTTTTTCCAAGTGAGATCTGTTTGTTCATTTGGAAGGCTGTGGCACTTTGAATATTCTTCACCAGCACCATCGTTCAAATGTATCGATCTTCCTTTGGTTTTCTTATTAAACGTCCAACCTTTCACATGCATATGAGTCTATTGACCCATGGTTTGGGTCCACATACCTTAGTCCTCAAAGTAACACCCTTGCTTTGTAACACTTTACAGAT